AACAACAGCAGGTGCAGGCGGAAGTGGGCGCGCAGAAGCCGCAGCCTTCCCCTTGCCCTTCCCTTTCCCTTTGCCTTTGCCCTGAACTGCAGAGCCCCCGTCTGCCACAGCCGCAGCCGTCGCTGGCACTTGCCTCGGGGGTGAAGTTCTCGGGGCAGGCCTCGGGGGAGCCATTGTTGCAGAAGCCTCGCGACGCCTGTCCGCCGCAAGCGGGGGACGCATAGTCTTCGCCGGGAGAAGACGTTCCTCAATCCCAGCGAAACGTGCGTCTATCAGAGTCCCCACCGACGCGACTATGGAGGCTCGAATCTCCTCCAGCCAGTCCCCCGCGAAGGTATCTGAGGGACCGGCTTTGGACGCCGACAACTCCTTCCGCAGCTCGCAGAATTCGCGTCTGTGGGCCTTCAATTCCGCCCTAAGTCCCTCAGTCTCGCGGCGAAGGCGGGCATTATCCTTCTTGAGGTTGGACACCTCCTCCGCTACCGTGCGCCCCGCCAACGCTTCCACCACCTTCTGTAGCGTGGCGGCAGACTCCTTCACATCTTAACCATCGTTCCCTTTAAATTGGCCGACTTCTGGGCCACTTCCATAACTGCCGCCACGCTTTTGCTGGCGAGCTCCTTCAACTCTTCGGCCGGCTGCTCAGCCGGGTCCCTCTGAGCCCTGGCTTCAGACGCCGACACCTCCGAGTCGCTGGGCGCCGATGCGCCAGCTTTGCGGTAAGTCCGCTGATCGAGACGCCTCTCAAACTCGAGCTCTCGGTCTTCCTCCTCCAACTTCTTCAGCTCGCGGCGTGCGCGAGCAACGCCCGAACCCCCTGCACTCTTCGCGCCCCTCTGGGACGTCTCCCTACGCGCTTTCACCACCCTAGCGCCAACGGTCATCTCCGTCTCGGTGTCCCATCCGGAGGATACCGTCAAAGGCGTTAAAGGGTGGGTCCGCTTACGCCCCCACTGACGTATCGGTGTCCGCACCCTCGGAACGTGTATCCTGAGTCCATGTCTCCAGACACGCAAAACACCCCAAAACAAACACAAAAACAAACAACTTTTACAACAAAATCCAAAACACAAGAAAGAATCAAAAAATCCAAGAAAAAACAAGCCAAAAATCAAGTCACGTGAGCATCAATCAGAACCGGTAAGCATAAACAATCGTAATAATAATCAATAAACATCCAAACAACAACGGCAGTAAAGGTAAGCCGAAACCCAACCTAACCTAACCTAACCTAACCTAACCTAACCTAACCTAACCTAACCTAACCTTAACCTAACCTAACCTAACTCTTAACCTAACCTACCCTAGACCTACCTAACCTAACCTAACCTAACCTAACCTAACCTAACCTAACCTAACCTAACCTAACCTTTTTTTTTTTTTTTTTTTTTTTTTTTTTTTTTTTTTTTTTTTTTTTTTTTTTTTTTTTTTGTGTCGGGAAAATGCATTTACGCATGCTCACCTGATAAACCCCCCCTCCCCCCCCCAGG